AGAACTCTCAACTGGGATTCCTCACGCCATGAAAACCACTATCATGAAGGTCTGCAGAGGACGGATGTGAGAGAACTCTCAACTGGGATTCCTCACACCATGAAAACCATGGAACAAGGAACAAAACCAGCCGCCATCGAGTGCACTCTGACTGACTCCTGGCGGCCCTGTGTGCGTCAGAGAAGAACTGTTTCCATAAGGTCTTTAGTGGCTGATTTTTTGGAAGTAGACCATCAAAAGAAGAACAAAATGAACATACGAAAACATAATGAGAAAAATTCAGTGATCCAAAAACACACTCAGAATACCTAACCTCATGTTTAAACTAGGTTGTTGCTATTCTATCCAAACGGAATGAAAGAAAATTAGGGTTATGCTAGAAAGACTAAAGGTATTTTTAAATAAAGATCTCGTCTATTCAATAAACTCCTACACAAAACAACACGTGTAAACACTGAGACCAGACTCAAGCTAAGGTTTCAAGGTGGCCAGCTTCCTTCCACTGCCTAATGAAGTTTTAATTGCATTCAATGCTTACCATAATCCATGTATGGTCCAGTAACCCGGAGGGTTGCTGCAGTCATTTTCAGCTTCCTAGGGGGGAAAGACGCAGGAAACAATTGGCTCATTGTCTGTTTAAACACATTTAGCAACCCTGCTTTTCCATCAACAGCCATCAACAAGGTGCAGCGACTGTACCGACAGGAGATAAACCCAGGGTTAGTTTAGAATAAATCGTCCTAGAAACACAGGGGTTGGTTTTTCTATTTGAAAAAAAAAAAAAAAAACACCCAATGCCCAAACAATGTAGACAACAGGATTTAAAAGCTATTTTCACTCTTTTGGTATGCTCACAAATGAAGCTAATCTGATGGAAACATTCATGTCTGCCCAGGAACAAGCATCTTAGTAGACAAGCAAAAATGAAAGCTTGGGTAGCAAAATGCCGGCAGTACGCAGCCAGACTAAAGCTTGCTCGGTGACTAGGCTCCAACTCGTCAGTGAAATAGCAAAGGACTGAAAATCTGGAGCCAACCAAAATGCTAACATGAGAGGGAGAGCATGTCCTTCCTCTTGGTAACAGAGATGAAAGCACCAAGATAAACATCTCGCTATAACACTCTTTGGAGCCCTGGTGGTGCGGTCATTAAGAGCTCAGCTGCTAACCAAAAGGTCGGCAGTTCGAAGCCGCCAGCAGCTCCTTGGAAACCCTATGGGGCAGTTCTACTCTGTCCTATAGAGTTGCTGTGGGTCGGAATCAACTCAACGGCAACAGGATTGGTTTGGTTTGGTGTAACACTTTGTTGTTGCCAGGTGCCGTCAAGTCGGTTCTGACTCATAGCGACCCCGTGTACAACAGAAGGAAATGCCGCCCAGCCCTGCGCATCCTCACAATCGTTGTTGTGCTTGAGCCCACTGTTGCAGCCACTGTGTCATTCCATGTCATTGAGGGTCTTCCTGTTTTTCGCTGACCCTCTACTTTACTAAGCATGTAAACACTCTTTAGGGACCTCCAAACTGTCTAGTTAAAAAGGAGTTTTTCCAAAATAAACAGTCAGCAAGAAATATATTTTGGCTTTCAGATCAGACTAAACAGAACTGATGTGCAGTCCCCCGCCCCCCTGCGGTGAAGAAGTAAACAAGGTCTGAGTCTGCTAAAACAGAGGTGCCATGCCTATGTTTCCCCACACCTTCCTTGCCAAAGCGCCTCTGTGTGGGGGGCCGCATCTTTCCACGATTAGTCAGGAGACTAGAGTGGGTCTCGGTTCAGTGACCGAAATACCTGATGTGAGGAGTAAAAGAAACTGCTGCATAATGACGGGGCAAAAGAACCAGAAAACAAATGTGGGGTCATAGGATGGTGGGGGCCGTTATTTCACCCCCACCTACATTCCCTCCAGGAGACGGATGAGCAGGGCGGCCGCAACAGTGGAATCAGACGCACCAACAGTCAGGAAGATAGCGCAGGACCGAGCAACGTTTTGTTCTGTTGTACACAGGGTCGCCATGCGTCAGGGCTGACTCGGCATCCACTAGCGACAACCTAGATCCCAACTGTACAGATGAGAAAACCGACGTCCAAAGAAGTTGGATAATTAGCCTATCGGCACACGTCTAAGCAAGAATAGAGCCAGGTTCTCTGGCTCCAGGTCTGTCGTCTTTGTGTGTGGCACATTCCTTTCCTGGGGACAACTCGGTTCACAGGCTTTCTTTTGTTCAGTCAGCGGGCACTCATCAAGCTCCACGTGCAGGGGACAGTGCCCAGCACTGACCACACCAAGCGAGCAGGACGGCAACGGTCCCAGCGCCTACATGTATATGAACCAGCTACTGTCAAGTTGACACCAACTCACGGCAACCTCAACTGCACGAGCGCTCAACTGTGCTCCACTGCGTTTTCAATGGCTGATTTTTCGGAAGTAGACTGCCAGGCTTCTCTTTTGAGGCACCTCTGGGAAAATCAAACTTCCGGCCTTTCTCTTAGCAGCCAAGTGCATTAACTGTTTACACCACCCAGGGATAAACCACTCATCAAAGGAAGCTGTCTCGGGGCAGGAGCCCAGAGACAGCCCAGCTGTCAGAAGGATGCCTTGACTAGAATAACAGATACTTCCTATCATGCTCACCCCGACTGAAGTTAATTTCCTAATGATAACATTTTGCTAGTAACTGATTTTTTAAAAAATTTCATTTCTAAAGCCTCAGGCAGGAACGCATTTCCAAGGGTGGCGTCTATAATCAGTGCACAGGGACACACCCACACTGCCACATAAAGGTCCCCCAGCACACGGCCTCTTTCCACACCTTGAAGGCAGAGCCTGTGTGCCAGCCAAGGACCACATTCAGTTAAGATGCATGCTCTTCAAACACGGGTCTTTCCAGTGAGAATGAAGGACTCCAGTAACGCTTCATCGCCCGGGGTGGAAACGTAATTTCCAACAAATGGGAACCTTGATTGCGTGACAATTTAATTCTCTTCCAAGCAATGCTACTCCCTAACCCCAGGGCAAAGGAACAGAGCTAGGTGAAAGAAAGAGACAACGTTTTAAAGTCTGGAAAACTATAAAACAGAGCAATCTAATGTAATAAACGGTACACCATTAGAAATGAGAGTTGCCAGATTAAGGGTAAAATTTGGTGCCCCCCAGGATGAAGAATCTAGGCATGAAGGCTAAGGATCATAGACCTGGGGGACATCTAGTCAACCGGCATAACACCGTGCATAAAAACAATGTTCCACATCCTACTTTGGTGAATAGTGTCTGGGGTCTTAAAAGACTGCGAGCGGCCATCTAAGATACAATAGTGGTCTCTTCCCAACCGGAACAAAGGAGAGTGAAGAAAACCAGACTCAGCAGTGCAGTTAGTCCACAGGATACATGACCCTGAGACCAGAAGAACTAGATGGTGCCCGGCTACCACTACTGACCACTCTGACGGGGATCACAACAGAGAGTCTTGGACACAGTGGGAGGAAAATGTAGAACAAAAATCAAATTCTTAAAAAAAAACAAAAAAACAAAACTAGACTTAATGCCCTGATAAGAGACTGCAGGAATCCCTGAGACTATGGCCCTAAGACACCATTCCCGGAAACCACCCTCTAGTCAAGCAACAGACAGGCCCGTAAATAAACCACCACACCGGAAAAGAACATGCTCCGTAGAGCAAACAATTATATGAGACCAAAAGGGCAATAATTGCCCAAAAGCAAAGACAAGAAGGCAGGAAGGGGCAGGAAAACCAGACGAAAGGAAACAGGGAACCCAGGGCAGAAATGGGGAGAGTGCTGACACAGCGTGGGGATTGTAACCCATGTCATGAACACTTCGTGTACAATTTGTTGAATGGGAAACTAATTTGCTCTGTAAACTTTCGCCTAAAACACAATAAAATATCTAAAAAAAAAAAAAAAAAGTAAAATTTGGTGAGGGTGACATGACACTGCATTTTAATTTGTCAACAAGTGACGTAAATAAATTAGCGAGTAAGCAGAAAAGTTAGTCATTCTTGCTAAATGCTGAAGGCAAGAACAAAAAGCCAGAGTACCCCTACAGAACATAAAATAATGTAACTAACAGATAGCAGCTGAGTCCGTGAGTGGTGCAAGCAGTTAAGTGCAGGACTACCAACCAAAAGGTTGGTGGTTCAAACCCACCCAGAGGCCCTCGGAACACAGGCCTGGTGCTCTGCTTCCGAGAGGTCACAGCCTTGAAAACCCTATAAAAAAACACCAAACCAAACCCACTGCCATCGAGTCGATTCCGACTCATAGTAACCCTACAGGACAGAGAAGACTACCCCATGAGGTTTCCAAGTAGTGGCTGGTGGATTTGAACTGTTGACCTTTTGGTTAGTAGTTGAGCTCTTAACCATTGTACCACCAGGAGCAGTACTACTCTGCACACGTGGGTCACCATGAGTCAGAATCGACTCAATGGCAAAAATACCAAACAACAAAATAACAACATGTAGCAACTACTGACTACTTCTGTCTCGCAAAGTTCAAAACTCTCAAGCAAAATTGTAGAAACACTCAGTTAAACGAGGGATAGCGTATCAGTACGATGACTCACTTTGGAATATTTGTTCAATTAATAATTTTGGGATAATTAGAATAATGGGCTTTGCAAAGAGCTCCCAAGAGCGGATGCTCTGGCCTGGGGTCTGCAGAGAGCAGGCAGAGGCAGGACCCCCCGCCGCAGTCCATGCTGTGACATGAAGATCCTCAGCGCGGACACCCTAAAAAGAACTCAGGAGCCCAGGGAGAGAGAGCAGCACGTGGGCGAGCCAATGTGGAGGAGAGCGGGTGCGTCTGCTGGGCCGAGCAGAGGAGGAAGCAGGGCACCACCAGCTCCTTCCTCTCAAGGAGACACTCTAATGAGGCCACACAAGGGGGACACAGTCGTGGGCTCTGGGAGGAACAGTCCCCTGGCTGGGAGCTGCCCCCACCCCCCAGCACCTCACAGGACAAGGAGGGCCGGGAGGCTCTGGAGCCAGCAGCGCCCACGGTGGGAACACATGGGGAAACAAATCTCTAAAGGGGCAAGGCTGGGCAGAAAAACTCACCTTGCACACTGTGGGCGGCCAGTGATGAACCATAATCAGCTTCTTCCACTCATACCTGCTGCTGTGAAAGACAAGGAACTCATTTTCCACGAACCTCTATACAGTTACCCCCCCCAAAAAAAACTAAACCCTCTGCCGTCAAGTCAATTCTGACTCATACTGACCCTATAGCGTTTCCGGGAGGAAGCCCCAGGCTCTGCTCGGCATGACTCGTATTGGCCAATAAACAAGAGACTGACGTGGGAAGGCAGAAAAGCACCTTTATTTCGTTGCGCAAGGAAACGAGTCAGTTGGAGCCGCTGCTGCCAAGACTGCTCCCCAAGGGTGAGGGGAAGTTTACTTTTAAGGGGTTTACTAGTAGGGAGTTTATACAAGTTACATCAGCAACATTTTAAATCATACTACACAGGCACAATGGGGTTTACATATAACTTCAGGCATCACCAGGATCCGAATGTAAATTATGGGGTGAGCTAAGCAAAGAAGGCAGGATTCTGATGCAAAGCTGGGGGTCAGCGGTGGTGGTGGTAGGGGTGGGGGGAAGCCAAGTAAAGGAAACAGGATTCTAGTGCAAAGCTGCAAGGTGAGCTAAGCAAAGAAAGCAGGATCCTGATGCAAAGCTGCTTGAGGCTGTAGAATTTTCCACAGCCTGGCCATCTCTGCCTTAATAGGACAGAGTAGAACTGTCCCATAGGGTTTCCAAGGCTGTAGATCTTTACAGAAGCAGACTGTCACATCTTTCTCCCATGGAGTGGCTGGCGGGTTCGAACCAGTCACCTTTCAGTTAGCAGCCAAGCGCTTAACCACAGTGCTACCACGGCTCCTTATAAAGTTACAAAGAGGCTAAATGACAGGAAAAACAAAAGAAAAGACAATCCATCCATCCATCCATCCATTCATTCACTCATTCAACCAACACCCAGTGCCTGTCACAGGCCGGGGGCAGTGCAGGGGACAGATGAACAAGACCCCTGCCCTCCAGATGTGACATTCCAGTGAGGGAGTCAACAGACATGGGAAGTAAGAAGCACACACAGTGACGTCATGGGTTGAACTGTGTCCCCCAAAAAGACATGTTCACATCCTGATCCCTGGACCTGTGAACGCGACCTGTGGAAATAGGGTGTGTCCTGACCCCTGGATTATGAACGTGACCTGTGGAAACAGGGTGTTTGAAGATGTCAGCAGTTAATCCAGGTGAGGTCACACTGGAGTGAGCTGGGTCCTCACCCTGTCACAGCGGTGTCCTTATAAAGGAGAGAAGAGACACGGGCACAGACAGGAAGGACACCAGGTGACAGCAGAGTCATGCTGCCACAAGCCAACTCTCTCCAGGAGGTGGACGGGGTGAAGCTCCAACCTAAAGTCAGTCCATTGGTGTTACAGACTGAATGATATCCCCCAAAAGACATGTTCAAGTCCTAACCCCCTGTACCTGTGAACATGACCTTATTTGGAAAGTGTCTTTGAGGACATCATTAGCTATCAGGTCATACTGGAGGAGGGTGGGTCCTCATCCCATCTGAGTGGCGTCCTTATGAAAGGGGAAAACAGACTGAGTCACATAGGGGAAGGTCCTACACCATGTGAAGACACGTCCACAAGCCAAGGACCGCCTGGGGCCACCAGAAGTCGGCAGGGACCAGGAAGGATCCTCCACGAGAGCCTTCAGAGGGAGCACAGCCCTGTGTTTGAGTGCATTTCTGTGGTTTTCAGCCTCCCAGTTGGTAGTGCTTTGTTACAGCAGCTACAAAAGCTCATACAGTGTTAAGCAGTGGTAAGTGGTAAAGGATCTAAAGAAAGAAAGAGGACAGGAACGCCGAGTGCGGGAGAGGTAGTGATTTGCAACAGGGTGGCAGGGATGCCTCACTGGAGGGACAGACTCGGGGTGCAGGAAGGACAGACTAGGGATGCTACAGGGACAAACTCAGGGTGCAGGAAGGATGGACTCGGGGTGCATGAGGGACAGACTAGGGGTACAAGACTGACAGACTCAGGGTGCAGGAGGGGTTCAGGAGGGGTGCGTGAGGGACAGACTCGGGGTGCATGAGGGACAGACTAGGGATGAGAGAGGGACAGACTCGGGGTACATGAGGGACAGGCTCAGGGTGCGGGAGGGATGCGAGAGGGGGGCAGGAGGGACAGACTCGGGGTGTGTGAGGGACAGACTCCGGGTGCAGGAGTAACAGACTTGGGGTATGGGAGGGACAGACTTGGAGTCCCTCAGAGTAGAAAGTGCAGCTTGCAAAATACTCTACAGATGTAAAAAGGAGCCCTGGAGGTGCAAGAGGTTTGCAATCGGCTGTCAACCTGAACATCGGCTGTTGGAACCCACCCAGTGGCACTGCAGGAAAAAACCTGTCAATCTGCTTCCGTAAAAGTGACGGCCAAGAACACCCTGCGGGGCGATTCTACTCTGTAACACGTGTTACCATGAGTCGAAACCTACTCGACAACAACAGGTGTTTGTTTTTGGTTTATTGATGTAAAAAGGTCCCAGCAAGGCAGAGACATCACGCAGAATGAGGCATACATAATCCAGCATAAATTAAATCTTAGAATCAAAGGTTCCAAAGCAAGACAGACCCAAGTTCTCGCACATGAATTTGTGTGAATAACTAGGCGCCAGCGAAAACGTATGGGATTCACAATTAAGATGTTACAAGAAATGTGTGCCAAGCCTGAACCGATGAAGCCAGCTCTCTGTACAGAGGAAAACAACAGAAGAACTGCCGTGTGTGACTTGTCAGAGCAGGCAGAACCGTCACAGGCTGCAGAGCAGGCAGAACCGTCACAGGCTTCTCCCCTGGGTGCAAGGCCCTCATTCGACCTCGGTGGAGGAGGCCTGGGGAGGTTGAACAATCGGCTAGGAAGACGAGAGCGTCACTACGCAGTTGACAATAAAGCAATCAAGGATCCGACCACCTCCATCTACACCCCACTGGAAGTATGGGTGTGGGCGTGAGGAAGCAAGGGGAACAGGACCTAAGGTGCTGAAAGAGGACGCGCCACTAAGCAGAGGCAGGAAGGAAACCACGGAGTCCTCAATCACAGCCGCTTCAGCTCTGCGTCCCCCAGAAGCACGCCTCGCTCACGGCAGCTGTTCAGTCAGATCAGATGCTCCATTAACGAGTGAGGGGGCCCTTCTTACTGGGTCCTTACTATCCGCCAGGCACTGCTCTCACTGCCTTCTCTAGATTAACTGATTTCTCCTCCCACCACCTCGATGAGGGAGGCGCTGTTGTGAGTTCGGTTTACAGGCGAGCCAGCCGAGATGCCAATGCCACACGCCCAAACTTGCACTAGCCGTTCACACCCAAACCGTGCACAGCACGACCTCGCCAGCAAGAAATACTCTATACTTTTTCACCTCACAGCAAAAAAAAAAGGAACGAGGTCTTTTCAGACTTGTTATCCCATTTTCTGGGAAAACAGAAATATAACGTTACCTCCTAAAGTTAAAACAGCAATGGTACTTAATTGAACAATAAAACCTACCTTTTTCCACACTTACTATAAGTACGAAATCCTTCTAATAAGCCAATCGTTATCCAAATAAAATAGAAGGAAAAAAAATAACATTTGTTATTCCAAATGTGGTATTGTCCACAAAATTAAAATTAGCCTCCTTGAGCACACTGTGCTGAGCCTGAGCCCCGTGACTCTCAGCCACAACAGAAGCGGGGGAGGCCAAAGGGGGCCAGAGAGGAAGGGCTGCGGGGCCAGACGCCTAGGAAGGGGAAGAACCACCACATCAGCAAACACTGCGCTGCCATCTAAAAATAAAGACGTCTCCGTCACCCACGTCTGGATTTCTACAGCACTAAGAGCTCCATCCACCTTGGCACCTGATAGACACTGTCATGGACTGAATTGTGTCCTCCCAGAATTCTGTGTGTCAACTTGGCTAGGCCATGACTCCCAGTACTGTGTGACTGCCTACCATTTTGTCATCTGACAGGGATTTCCCATGTGTTGTATATCCTACCTCTATGCTGTTAATGAGCTAAGACTAAGGATGGCCTTTATGTTATTGAGGCAGGACTCAATCTACAAGATCAAACAAAAAAAACTTGCGACCCCTACAGGACAGAGTAGAACTGCCCCACAGAGTTTCTAAGCAGCAGCTGGCGGATGTGAACTGCCGACCTTTTGATTAGCAGCCATAACTCTTAACCACTATGCCACCAGGGTTTCCTCTACAAGATTACTTTGTGTCTTAAGCCAATCTCTTCTGAGATATAAAAGAGAGAAATAAGCAGACACACATGGAGGACCTCCGACCACCAAGAAAAAAGAGCCAGGAGAATAGGGCATCCTTTGGACCCAGGGTCCCTGTGCTGAGAAGCTCCTAGGCCAAGGGAAGATTGATGACAAGGACCTTCCCCCAGAGCCGACAGAGAAAGTAAGCCTTCCCCTGGAGCTGGCGCCCTGAATTGGGACTTCTAGCCTCCTAAGAGTGTGAGAGAATAAACTTGTGTGTGTTAACGCCAGCCCCTTGTGGTATGTCTGTTACAGCAGCACTAGATGACTAAGACACAAACCTTGCTTTGTCTCTGTTGTTGTTAGCTGCTGCTGAGTCAGTTCCAACTCCTGGCGACCCCATGTGTGCACAGTAGAACTGCTCCATAGGGTTTTCGAGGCTGTGACCTTTCAGAAGCAGACCGCCAGGGCTGTCTTCTGAGGTGCCTCTGGGCATTGTCTCCTCTACAAGACTGGACACCCTCTGCAGGTGCTGGTCCTCTCATCCTTCAGCACAGTGTTTACTGCAGGGCTCTCCACATCCCCCAAACAACAGCCTCTCGGAGCTCCTTCTGTCTCCCAGACACCTGCTGTTGTTGGCTGCTGTGGGACGTGCCCCCGACTCAGGGGACCCCATGCACCACAGAATGCAACACTGCCCAGTGCTACACCATCCCCACCATAGTCTGCAGATGAGACCATTGTGATCCACAGGGTTTTCACTGATGGATTTTCTGAAGTAGATCACCAAGCCTTTCTCCCTATTCTGTCTTAGTCTGGAAGCTCTGCAACATGCAAGCGTCCACTGACAAATGGGTGGAGGCTGCACACAAGGTGCACTGGCTGGATTCAAACCTGGGTCTCCTGCATGGAAGGCAGGAATTCTACCACTGAACTACCGCTGCCCCATTCCCAAGCATTTCATCGGCATATATTAAAACCATCAGCTACACAAGGCACTGTGTTGAAAAATCTCAGAGTGAGACAATCACATGTTCAAAGTTTTTTTTGTGAAAATTTACTCACCTCAGGAATTTATCAGCATTGCACAGGCAGTAAAGCGCCAGACAGAAGGAACATAGGAGGATATTGTGAATTACTTTGGGCTTCATTGTGTTGAAATCTGTGAGGAGAAAATATCACAAATGTATAAAATACTCAGATCTCACACTTTAAAAGTACACACAATACCAGGCTTTTAAATGCCAAGGGTTTTCTGTTTTCTTGGTAATAAAATTTCTTGACACTCTTTTCTGCATACTATGAACTGGCTGCAACAATAGGCTCAAGCATAACGTTTGTGAGGATGGCGCAGGACCAGGTACTGTTTTGCTCTGTTGTACACGGGTCGTTATGAGTCGGAACCGACTTGTACGGTTTCGCCCTGTCGGACGCAGGACCGCTATGAGTCGGAACCGACTTGTACGGTTTCGCCCTGTCGGACGCAGGACCGCTATGAGTCGGAACCGACTTGTACGGTTTCGCCCTGTCGGACGCAGGACCGCTATGAGTCGGAACCGACTTGTACGGTTTCGCCCTGTCGGACGCAGGACCGCTATGAGTCGGAACCGACTCGTACGGTTTCGCCCTGTCGGACGCAGGACCGCTATGAGTCGGAACCGACTCGACGGCACCCAACTACAACAACATAAAGTGGCTTTAGTAAGGAAATCTTAAAAAAAAAAAATCACATAGAACAACTGCTGTTTCATCTTCCAATATAAGGAACAAGGCAGGGACCTCGGGGTGACCTGCTGCTACAGAGGACCCTGGCGTGGAAAGGGGCCTCAGGTGAGCTCAGCCTCCTCACCGTCTGCGCTTTGGTTTCTCAAATTTTGAAACTTTAAATAAAAACTAAAAAGTAACAAAGTACAGAAGGCCACACAAGTGTAAGGCAGGAAGAAAGCCCAGGAGGCGCCAGAGGGTGCAGTGAGGCACGGCCCCCAGCCACCAAGGCAGGTCCTCCCCGGAAAGGCGGGTCCCCCTGCAGAAAGTTGTGTTACTACCTGACCCTGGCGGTTGTTAAAGCAAAAGGCTGGTCAAACCCAGCCACTACCTATAAATGAGACAATCCTAGTAACAGGCAGGTGACTGAGACTGGCAGTGTCCACCTCCTGAGTGTTCCTCCTAGGGGACCCCATGGCCCCCGTCCTGAGTGTCCCTCCTAGGGGACCCCATGGCCCCCATCCTGAGTGTCCCTCCTAGAAGACCCTGTGGCCCCCGCTCCTGAATGTACCCTGGAAGGGACCTGTGGCCTCCGCTCCTGAGTGTCCCTCCTACAGGACCCTGTGGCCCCCGCTCCTGAATGTACCCCGGAAGGGACCTGTGGCCTCCGCTCCTGAGTGTACCCCGGAAGGGACCTGTGGCCCCCGCTCCTGAGTGTCCCTCCTACAGGACCCTGTGCCCCCGCTCCTGAGTGTCCCTCTAGGGGACCTGCGGCCCAGCAGCTTGCAAACACCCGAAGCCGACCGCCGCTCACACGGGGCTCCCGTCCCGTGCAAACGCCGGGCTGCACAGGAAGGGGCGACCTCTGCAGCTGAAGCTTCTCCTTCGTTCCCGCGGAGCCAGGATTCCTGCTGCCCGCGCGCGCTCCGAGCGCCGCCTCGGCACCGCTTTACCTGAGTCCGCAGGCTCTCACAAGTTCCCGGGCTCCGACCCGACAGTCAGCAGCGGTGCACAAGCCCGAGTCCAGGCCCACTGCGCTTCCGCCAACAGGCCGCTCCCGGCCGGCACCTCCTAGACCCCTCCCGGCAGCCCCGCCCCGCCCACGGACACGCCCCCGCCTTGGGGGCCTGGCTTCGGAGACCACGCCCCCGCCCGGGACCGCGCCGGACGGCCACGCCCCCGCCCTTCCGGACACGCCCCCTAGCGGCCCCGCCCAGCCCCTGATAAGCGCCTTTTTCCCTCCACCGGTCCTTGGTAAACAGGGTTTAGTTGCAGCCTGCCCCACTTCCGTCCTATGCCCTGTAAAGGCTGTGTTTTGAAAGCCCGCGTTTCTTGATGTTTGAAGTGCGCCCCGTTCCCTTTAACCACCCGGTATTAAACTGCTTGGTCCGGACAGAGCCACGCCCGTCTGTGGGAGCTGTCCCAGGACAGTGGCCTGGCCGACCTCGGAAAGATCCCACCTTCCTTGTGGCTGCGGAGGACGCCTGTTACCTGAGAGCGTCACATCGTTATCGCGAAGGCCCGGATCGCAGAAGGGGGTGTGCAGCGTTTGTGCCTGTGTGCGGGAGGCGGTCCCACTCATCCGCTTGAAACAGTTGCCATGGAGTGGACTCCGACTCACGGTGACCCCGTGTGTGTCACAGTAGAACTGTGCTCCACAGGGTTTTCAGTGGCTGAATTTTCTAAAGTAGATTGCCACGCCTTTCTTCTGAGTCACCTTTGGGTGAACTGGAACCTCTAACCTTTTGGTTAGCAACGGAGGGCATTCACCGTTTGCAGCACCGAGGAACTCGGGCACCCTACTAAAGCAGGCAGCCCTTTGATTTCCAGCTAGGTCATTTCGGTTCGGTTCCAAGCCGTAACGCGCCCCCAACACTAATTCCATTTGATGTTATCCTGTTCCGTGCATTCACTGGTCATCTACTGCCTTCATGGCAACTGGAGAGAAGCGTGCAGCCGGCAGATCTGAGCCTGCCCTGGAGGTGCCGCCCACTCCTTTGAGGACAGTCAGATGAAAAGCCAGCCTGCGTCCCCGTGTGCCTACCACCACCAGACAACGCCGCCCCTGCTCCCGTGAGAACCTAAGGGCAGGCGACCCGTCCAAGCCCATCCCTGGAACTCACTGGCGGTGGGAGCTGTGGTTTACTACCTGCGCTTCCGCCTCCTTGCCCCCTGCTACCCAGATCATCACCTCTACAGCCCTTCCCACCCCTGCTCAGAAATCACCCCTCGGAGACCGCACCTTATTGATGGAAGGGGGATTGCTGCCCTGGACTCCCTGTCACCGTTGACAGTCTCAGCTCCCACGCTGAAGCCCAAGGGGAACCAAAACAAGCCTAGCCTGCTGCCGTGGAGTCAACTGGAGACTCACAGGGACCCTACAGGACAGAGTAGAACTGCCCCATAGGGTGTCCTAGGCTGTAATCCTTACAGGAGCAGATCGCCAATTATTTTAGCCCGCGGGGGCTAGTGGGTTCCAACCTCCGACCTTTCGGTTAGCTGCCGAGCGCTTAGCCATTGCGCCACCAGGGCTCCCTCTCGAATTAAATGTGGGTCTGATCAAGTCATTTGTAGGGCCTTCCCATTGATCTTTGGATGGGTGCCAACATTCTTAGCACGCCCTGGGCCTCCCCAGCTCTCCAGCCTCGTCCCCCGGCTCTGCAGGCCGCCATTAGCCACGAAGGCCTCTCTGCCAGTAAGAAAGGAGCCGCCTCCGAGAAATGAGCCCCGAGGCCTCTCCTGCTTTTCGCCCCTTCCGCCATGACCAGCTCCTCTTGCACGAGGGCACAGGGTTTGGCAAGTGTGTGTGGAAGAGAGAGAGTGTGTATGTGTATATGTGAGAGTGTGTGTGTATAGGAGTGTATGTGTGAGTTAGAGTGTATGAGTGTGCGTGTGTGGAGTGTGAGTGTATGAGTGTGTGTATGAGTGTGTGTTGTATGAAAGTGTGTGTGAATGTGAGAGTGCATGAGTGTGAGACAGTATGTGTCTGAGTGTGAGAGTATGAGTGTACATAAGAGTATGTCTGAGAATGTGAGTGTATAAGCACGTACACGGGAATATGCGTGAGCCCGTACACGGGAATTGTGCGAGCACGTACACGGGAATGTGCACGAGCATATGAAAATGTGCGTGTGCATGAGTGTGTTATGAGACTGTGAGCGTGTATGAGTGTGCGTGTGTGTATGAGATGCATGTGAGAGCGCGTGTATGAGTCTGTGTGAGTGCGTGTATGAGAGTGTGTATTGGGGGGCTACATTCTGGCCCCCCCTCGCCCTCTCTGCCAGGCTCTGTTGTGTCAGAGACAAAGTGCACCCCAATCTCACGGCAGGGAGCCCACCCCACAAACACTGGCCTCTTTGCAGAGGTGCTCTGCCCCTCCCGACCTTCAGGCATTTCTAGTCATTTTCTCTTGCTGCCGTGACCGGCAGTAGATCAGAGAAGGTTCAGCTGAGGCAGCATGTCCTCCAGGAGGGGCCTAAGAAGGCCGGTGAACTGGCTCGGGCCGAGGTGGGCCGACTAAAGGGCCCCGGAGGAAGGAGGGAAACTCGCCCAGAGGAGACTGCTGAGCACTGTGTTCTGACTGGTCAGTGGGGACAAGTGGTCCAGCTACTCCTGTCTGAGGCAGAGAATGGGAACTGGGAGGGCCTGGGTCTGGGCTTGTCATAGGTGGACAAGGGGCATCCGTGAGTCTTATCTAAGCCACTGCGGGAGGGAAAGGTGGTCCTTTGCAGTAAGCCATTTCCAGAACGCAACATGGTGGGGGGTTTCTTAACCTTCGCTGTGTTCCGGGATTGCAGGGCTCAGGTAAATTCAACGTTGTCCCACCCTCCCCGAAGGAGGCTGTTTATTTTCAACCTTCTCCTTCAGCACCTGAGAGTTTTAGGCTGACCTCTCTGTTTACCTTTCTATTCTAAACGATTTACATCCTGGGAAAGTCCGCACAGTTTCCGGGTGTCTCTCCCTCTGTGCTTTCTCTTCTCACAGGACCGACATTTCCGGCCTTGCCATGTCAGCCTGGCTACTGCGGAACCTATTTTGTGGACCTGTTTTATTCTCAGCTCTGCTATGTAAAAACTGGGACGGGGAAGAGCTGACAAAGAATGGTCATGTGTCACTTGCAGTATAATGTTTTTTTCTTGAAGATGTCACTTTAATAGTTGGAGTCACCAGGAAGAAACTTTTGGGGGCAGAAAATAATAAATGAAATCAAACAGCATGACATTCTGAAATGTGAAATAAAGAAACAGTACTTTTATTCTTTGATGTCAAATTTTGGACCTCCGGGCCAAGAAGTCAGCACCAAATTCTTACCTAAAGACTCCATTGTCTATAATATTTCTGATTCCTATCATAAAGGGCTATTTACTCTGAAAAAGACACAAAGCATGCCTTCACTTGTGCACGCGTGCACACACATGCTCATACACACTCCCACATGGATATGAGAAACGCTGTTTACTTGGGGTGTTTTAAAAAATTCTTTATCTAAAATAAAACAGCAAGCCATTTGTGGACTTGGGAGTCTTACCACATAACTGAGCTGCTTCCTTTTAGATAAGCATCTCTGCATTACGAACAATAGTTTAATGGTGCATTAAGAGTTAACCAAAAACCAAACCCAAACCCACTGCCATCAAGTGGATTTCGACTCATAGAGACCCTACAGGATAGAGTAGAACTGCCCCAGAGGGTTTCTGTCTCAGTTATCTAGTGCTGTTATAACAGAAATACCCCAAATGGGTGGCTTGAACAAACAGAAATTTATTCTCTCACAGTCTAAGAGGCTAGAAGTCCGGATTCAGGGTGCTGCTATAGGGGAAGGCTTTCTCTCTCAGCTCTGGAGGAAGGTCCTTGTCTCTTCAGCTTCTACTTCCTGGTTCCTTGGAGCTCTCCATGGAGCTTGGCATCTGTCTTCCCCCATCTCTGCTCTGCTGGCTTGTTTAATCTGTTTTGCATCTCAGAAGAGACTGACTGAAGATACAGCCTACACTAATCCTGCCTCATTAACACAACCAAGACAACTCGTTCCCAAATGGGATTAGAACCACAGGCATGGAGGTTATGATTTACAGCACATATTTTGGGGGGATATAATTCAATCCATAAGCGTTTTCAAGGCTGTAAATCTTTATGGAAGCAGACTGCCACATCTTTCTCCCATGGAGTGGCTAGTGGGTTCGAACTGCCGACCTTTTGGTTAGCAGACAAGCACTTGAACTGCTGCGCCACCAGGGCTCCTTCATTAACAGTTAATGTAATGGATATTCTATAAATATTCATTTCTTGATTAATAGTTTTTAGTGTTGTTGTTAGCTGCTGTCAAGTCAGTCCCTAGCTCACGGCAACCCCATGCACAACAGGATCAGACCATTGTGATCCATAGTATTCTCATTGGCTGATTTTCAGTAGATCACCAGGCCCTTCTTCCTAGTCTGCCTTAGTCTAGAAGCTCTGCTGAAACCTGCTTAGCATCACAGCAACACACAAGCCTGCACTGGCAGATGGATAGTGGCTGCATATGTGGTGCAGTTGGACAGGAGTTGAACCCAGGTCTCCTGCATGGAACCACCGCTAGTCTCCAAAATGCTGGAAAGAGTCCTAGCTTTCAAGCCAGCCACATCACGATACCAGAGTATCTTTAGTACCTCTACTTCTGCCTATGAAATCCTATTTCAAGGACAGAATGTGGCTTCACCCAACGACTGACAAGTGGAATACTCTGAGCGGCTGCCCCAGTTCTTCTGGGGACAAGCTGAGTGGCTGACAGTGGGTAACTTAACCACGCTCCTCATCCATCCATAAATTACCTTCTTCATCTGTAAAACTGAAATTGCCTAGGTAACTCCAAAGTTCCATCCAGGTCAAAAATTCTAGGATTAAGAAATGAAAATGAGAATTTTCAAAAGTTTCACGAAATCTTAAGGAAATCATTGGATTATATATACGTCCATTGGATCTTTTTGCTGTTGTTGTCAGGTAACCTTTAGTCGGTTCTGATAGTTGCCCGGTCCTGCACCACCCTCACAGTTGTTGTTATGCTTGAGCCCATTGTTGCAGTCACTGTGTCAATCCGTTTCGTTGAAGGTCTTCC